TTTTTTTTTTTTTTTTTTTTTTTTTTTTTAAGCTTTATCCTTTTGAAACGAATTTTATTTTGAGATTTCACGCTCTCAATTAGAAAAACAACATTATCCATAAATTGAATCCCAGGAGAATATTTTAAAGCCCTTGTTCAAATTCAGTGGATAAGCTTTTTTTTCTCTTTTTTCGAGTGAATATCCCGTGTGGTCCTGGTTAACCATGTTAGAGATGTGAATGGTATTGCTTTGAAAATTTTTATGTTCAAATGGTGTATATCTTTGACCTGTCCAATAACAATTAAATCAGTCCATTATACTGAATATGCAGGAATTCTAGATTTCTCAAGGCAGCATATATCCATTATACTTGGCAGCTTAAATCCATTATATTTGGCTTCAATATCCTACCGCAGCTTCTTCGCGATGTCCATGCTAAGTAAGTTACGTTTAATAACGGTCGACGTTACCGGAACTCTTATTGCTTACAAAGGGCAGCTCGGTGATTACTACTGCATGGCGGCAAAATCGATCGGGCTCCCATGTCCCGATTACAACAGAGTTCATGAGGGTTTCAAACTTGCTTACACTGAGATGGCAAGGAAGCACCCATGTTTCGGGTTTGCTGAGAAAATCCCCAATATTGTTTGGTGGAAGACTTGTGTAAAAGATTCTTTTGTCCGGGTAAGAAAGTTTCTGCAGATACAAAAATGGGAAAAAAGTGTTGAGATGACATTTATATCAATTTGGGCCTTGCTTGCAGGCAGGGTATGATTATGATGATGAAACGTTTGAGAAGATTTTCAGGCGCATCTATGCTACGTTTGGTTCGGCTGCACCCTATAGTATCTTCCCTGATTCACAGCCATTCCTGAGATGGCTTCGGGGAGAAAAAGGTATTATGGTCGGGATAGTGAGTAATGCAGAGTATAGGTATCAGGATGTGATCCTTCCCGCTTTGGGTTTACAAAAGGTACGTACAGAGATAAATCAGCACTGTTGGAGCATATGATTATCTTTTAGAGAAAATGACAATGTTTGACCTGTATGATTCACTACCCTAACGTTTCCGTTGCATTCGAATTGCTATTTTGATTTTCATCCCTTATGTTTGCAAAAAGTTACGAAAAGGTCCCCGAGCATACATAAGGGACGGAATTTCGACTTTTTTGCAAATTCGAAGTGGACATATTGTTGCAAAATTGACATTTTTGTAAGGTGAAATTGCAATTTTAGTCCTGTTGGTTTGATCCAGTGGCATTTTTTGTCTTAATAATTGAACATTTTTGCTATTTGGTCCTATGATTTTAAATTTCAACGCAATTAAATGCAACAAAATTTAAAATTATAGGACTTAAATCGCTAATGAAAAATATTTTGAATGGATTTTTTATTAGAAATTATTTTAAATTTTGTTGCAATTTCAGTCCTTGCAGCAAAATACTAAATTACAGGATCAAAAGACAAAAACTTAAAATTTTGGGACTAAAAATGCTACGGCGTTAAACCAGCAAGATTAAAAATGCAATTTTGTCTTTTTGTAACAGTATTGCAAACATAAGGTATGAAATTCAATACAACAATTCGAAGGAGACCAAAAAGTTATGATTCATTACATAGAGGGCTAAAATTGTAATTTTCTATTTCTTTTACTTTCTTGCTTGGCAATAATAGGAAAAAATGCTTTCGATTTTGTTCATTCACAGGGATCGGAGTGGGACTTTGGCGTATTCTCAGGTCTGGAGGGTATAGAGAAGCCGGACCCGAAAATGTACGAGATAGCGTTGGAGAGGGCAGGGAATATAGCACCGGAAGAGGCTCTTCACATTGGCGACAGCATGCGAAAGGATTATTTGCCTGCCAAGACTGTGGGGATGCACGCCTTATTGTTAGACAGGTTCAATACACCTGATGCAGAGAATTGGAAGGAATCCGGGGCCACTGTGTTACCTGACTTGGTGGCTGTGAAATCTTGGCTTTCTTCTGAGCAAAAGGACGGCTAGAAGTTTATTTCCACCGACACATTTTCCCTTTTTTTTTTTGTCTAAATTATTTTAGCACTGTATTTTACGGCATGGACAGTTCTAGCTATGAATGCATTGCCTCCTCTTCTTTTCCATCATTTTCGTACTGCTTCCACTGTCAGTCTATTGTGAGATGGGTTGTACTATAAAGAAATCACAAATTGCAGGAATGGACATTTTTTGTACTGCTTCCACTGTCACTCTATTTGGAAGTCGGGGGACGTTGGAGCAACATGAATTTTTGAGGGGAGGTGCTTCAGGCACAAGAGGAATCCAACGGTGTCCTCTAGAATGGAAACCACATCGGACGGTTTTACCAATGTACTAGGAAAATATAATTGTTAATCATAGTAAAAATGCCATGATCAGAAAGTCATTGAAGTCTTATTATAGCTCACATTCATGAGTAGATTGCCGCCATATTATGCACAAACATCTGCAATAGTAGAATTCCTTGCACAGGTGGGAAAATTGTTACAAATCGATCACAACAATTTCTTGTGCAATAGCAATTAGCAACCCACAATACAAGTAGATTGGGTCAAAAAAATCACCAACATCATTTTGGACATAATAATATAGCATTGAACTTCCATACAGAATCCATTAAATAATAAAAACCCGCGAAAATCAATTATTATATTTAAATGATCTTGAAATACTGATTAACCCCCCTTGCTACCAGCTAACTGCTGCAAACTAGTGTTCTAGCTACATCCAACTCAATCAGTCCATGACGAGTCACTATTGAGCGATTAGCAATCAGATTTTCCAAATTCTCGACCACTGTCCCCATATCAGGTCGACAGGTCGGGTCCTTGTTCACACACAACATGGCCAAACCGATGATTCCAGATTTAGTATGCTCATCCATCTGAAAACTATCACTCACCACTGGCACATTTCCACTCTTTATCAATTTCCAGAACCATATAGCCCCTTGTTTCTTACAGACCAGATTCACGAGTAGAATGCCATATGCACACACATCTGATTTCATTGACCACAAACCTACTGCACAATATGAAAAATGTGGCTTCAACCAAAAAACCAAGATACAAATTAAATGTAAGGGTTCATATTCAACTTACAAAGCTGATTACAACTACAAGTGTAATCAAAACAGATGTATGAACACAACACAACATAACACAGAATATGCACATCAATGACATTATACCTGGATATTTGTAAGCCTCAGGAGCGTAATATCCAAGATCTTTATAGAAGCTTTGAGCCTCAATCTTCTCATCCTTGTTTTTGACTCGTTTATGAAAACCAAAATCAAAGAACTTCACATTCGAGTCCTGCAACAAATTCAGTAACTCACTCAACAACAACAGCAGTAAGTAATTGAAAAACCTTTTGAAAAAATGCATCCAAGTAACAAGATAATCGCTAATGAAATTTGAGTGTGAACCTGATCGATGATTATGTCCTTGGCATCAATACTCCCATAAATGATCAGATTTTCGTGAGAGAATTTCAAGAGGCGGCCAAAATCCATAGCCACTTTCATACGAGCGTCCAATCCAAAATCATCTGCAAGACGTATTACAAATAACAGGGGCTAGTTTAGGACACTGGCTACTAGATATAGTATTGCAACGCACAAATATGTAACAAGAATCGTTAGGTGCCCTACCGGAAGTAAGGAGTTCATGGACTCTTGTTTTCGGATCAAGATCAAACACAAACGCCAACTTTCTTTCACAGCTATATCCAATCAGTTTGACAAAGTTGGGATGAGATTTGATCAAGGGATCTCTAAGAAGCACAATATCAGCCTATGCATGACATGAAAGCAGTATTATTAACGCATTACACTCTCGAATGTAAATTTATAAATTCTAGTAGAATAATCAAGTGAGCTGCAAGAACAATTAACAAAAAAGAAAAACTCAGCAATATATCATTACATGGAGTTTAGGCGGAGTTCGATATGATCGTATACTGAAAGGAGAGGATACATCTAAAGTTCTGACGGCCAATTTCCTGTTATTGTAACCCCTTGCCTTAAACAATCGGCCATTACGAGCAAGACAGAATATGTTGTCCTCACTGTATCCATTAGTAAATTCACAGAGCTCTGCATCACTATAATGTCGCACATCCCCAAGATCTATTCCTCTCAATTCCTTCCTGAACGAAAAACGAACAAATACTACACAAATCAACTAATCAAGAACATGTTACAAATTTAAAAAAAAAAAAAAAAAAGAACTCAATCAAAGAGGAGAAATATAAATTACATGTACCTGCTCATACATGTGATCCAGCCCATCCAAGTGGTGGAGTGCATATAATCCCATTCGAGTTCCAACATAGAGGGCAATATTGTCAAATCTTTAATCTCCTCCAGGAAGCTCGCGATTTTCTTTTCCTCGTCCTCTTTAATTGCGGCTGATCCACCCTCCTCCTCCTCCTCCATACCTTCTTTTGGGTGCAGCATCTCACGGCTTGCAGACGCCATACGGTGGAGAGCGCTAATTTAGGCGAGGAAGAAGAGGGTTTTCTGAATTGATAGAAATAAAAGGGTTTTTCTCATGCAACCCGCGTCATTGCCGTATGGGACAGTTTTGGAACGGAAATGTTGGAATCTATTACTATAAAATTCGACTAGGAAAAAAATGTTTGAAAAACTCGAAAATAATTCTTTAGTTTTCCTGCTTAAAGATCCCGCTCAAATATTTATTTCCTCCTCAAATTTTATTTGAAATATTTGGGTAACATGAAATTTGGTATATCCCGCCCATGCAATTTGGTTTTGCAGATTAATTTCTCACATGATTCCTAAAATCATAGGTTAGTTCCATTTTTGATTCTTTAATTTGATTTAAATTTGGAAGCGATTTGTATTATATATCATGTCAATCCTAAATTCGTGGGTTGAATTTCGTTGGTGTAGGAATAACAATTGGACGAATGTTTGAGTTGTATTGAAATTTCTTAACATCTTTAACATGGATAAAAAACTAAGATATATGTCAAAAATTGTTAAATACAATTATATTTATCTATTCTTTTTTTTAAAAAAAAAAAAGAAAAAACACCTGCAGTTTTATATGCTATTTATTAAAAAATATCTAAAAACATCTATAATAATTTAGCTAATTTTCATTAAACTAAGTTGCAAGATCATTTTTAAAATTAAAGGATTTACATATTACGAAACAAATCGTTCTTTATACAACCTGAATATTCGATTAATAAAAAGTGGATTCAAAACTTTTAAACAATATTTCCTTCACGAAAGTGAAAGGTTTCGACGGGAAAAGTAGCAGCGGAAGCAAATATAATGGAGAAGGAAAAAATAGAAATAATATATAATTAATTTTATGATCTAAATTTGTTTATTAAATTTATAAATTCGAACATTTAAATAAAAAGATCAGAAGCAGATTTTTGGGTTAAATTTTATTTTATATTGATTTTCATATAATCATATTTCTAACAAACTAATTAATATTGTATATGTTATTTACATTATATAACTGATTTTTTATTATATAACTAATATTATATCTTAACTAATTAATCATTTATCTAACTGAAATTATCTCTCTAACAAACTTGTCAATTTTTTTGAATGATATGACTATTATTACGGAGATACTTACCACTACATTAAACATTTAGAAACTTTTTTTTTTTAAAAAAAATGAGTTATCCCTTCATTTATTTTATTTGAAAGTCTAAGTTTTATTTTTAAATATATTGTTGTTTATTTTTTCTTATGTGTAAATGTTTATTATTTATTATCTAAGGGATAAATATTATTGATTTGTATCTTTAATAGATGTTTATTATTTCTTTTTTTCCTTACGTGATATAATCTAAATTTGGTTATTAGATTTTTAAATTCAAACATTTAAAGAAAAAGATCACAATCAGATTTTTTTGGGTACATTCCATTTTATCTTAACATACAAGTAGATAATAAATTAGATAATAAATAAAACCTTTTTATTTTAGTAAAGATTTTACGTACTTTATTTTTACTTATCGGATGTTATGGGGTTTTTTTTGTTAAACCGATTTTATGGGATATAATACAAATACAATTAGAGGATTGAACAAAATCAGATTTCCATACAATTAAATAATAAGAAAGAATTAGATAAGAAAAAGAAGGAATTAGATAAGGAATTTTGAATCTGCCTTTTTTTAGTATAGATAGACTTTACGTATAAATTTTGACTCACCGATTTTATGGAATTTGTTTTGACAAAATTGATGTTAATATGGAATAAGACAAATAAATAAAGTCTTTTTTATTTTACTAAAGATTTTACGTCTTTTTTTTTAATTATTATCAGATGTTATGAGATTTTTTCGTGAAGTGATTTTATGGGATATAAGATAAATAAATAAAATAATTAAATAAAATTCTGGATAGAAATAGCAATGCATTAATTACGTTGACTTTTCAACCTACTAAATTTGGTAAATATGATACCTTATTATATAAGTATAGATTCTTTGACCGAATATATATAGAATACGTAAAATATATATTTCATTTCCTATTTTTTAAAATACAGAAATTGTTCGTTCCGTTTTTGTCGTGTTTTCCTTGTTCATTTTGCATTTATTTTTCCCCATTTTAGGTTATTTTCTTTGATTCTTGGTCCAAATTGTGTCGTGTCTTGCATTTTCTTTATTTTGTTCATTTTTTGTTTTTCTTGCTTCTTTTTCCCGGTTTTCTGCGTTTTTCTTGTCGGTGGTGGTTTGCAGGTTAAGTAGCTCAGTTGGGAAGTGGCCATGCGAGGATTATACCTAGACGGATGAGTTGGGGTCGAGTAGAAAAAGACGGGATCCAATTTCGAGTCCGGATGCGCGGGTACCAGACCGGAAGTCACAGCCATGCCTCAGAAATTCTTCACCGCGGCCCGCGACATTGTTCCCGCGGCCGCGGTAAACAACTTAACTGCGCGCCCAGTTTTCTTCACCGCGGCCGCGGAGAAGGAAGTCGCGGCCGCGGATAGGACGGGAATTTGGAGCAAGGGTACAGAGGCAAAAACTCGCGGTCGCGGGACATGTCGCGGCCGCGGACCGTCCCTTCACCGCGGCCGCGGGACATGTCGCGGCCGCGGAACGCGCGAACTCAGCTTTTAAAATAGCAGATTTTTATTTTGAACAATATTCGTTTTTGGATCTAAGTTTCGAACTCTCTAGGGATTTTCACCCAAAAAACTC